TGTGCATGCGTGTGTGTATGAGAGAATTCAATATGTGTATGTCTAGATATGCACATATATATGATTTCTTTATTTTATCTTAGATTATTAATATGTTATTTATATGCATACATTTGTTTCTTATGGATAGATCATTTAAATCTTTATTTCTTAAAATATTTCACCAAACTCCCATTTCTCAAGAACAGGGTGGGTGGGGGACCTTAGAGAAGGTATGGCTTAAGGCAAATTGGGTTTTTTGCTGTAGCTGTGCTCAGAGTTGTGAGCATGCTGGCATGAACTGTGAAAAAGGAAACCCAGATTCAGCCCCTCCCAGTCTCCTATGACCCAAACCAGGTCCCTCTTTTCACACAATCTGATGCGATTAGTGCTCTTCAAGAACTCACTTTGGAAAATGTTATTTAAAAAGATAATAAAGGGACTCATCTGCAGGATTTTTTTTTTTTTACTTTTTAAATTCTTGGGAGGGAAGCATAGGAAAGGCTGAGTTTGTCCTTTAGAACAAAGAACGAGGAAAACAGAGTAAGTAAGCCATCTGGTCTAACACGCTCCATCCCTGGGAGCACAGAATATTCTCAGCCATAGTTAAGGTTTGGCCATTAGAGGGCTCTGCAGGTTTGTTGGATTTCTGTTCTCAATCTCAAGGATGCAGCCAGGTAAGAATCACTGCTAAGATGATAACTCTTTGAGGAACGCAAATTCATCAAAGATGGGTAGATTTCAACTATCACATTTGGACCATCTGGGCAGAATTAACACAAATGTTTTTTCTTTTCTACTAGGGTACATGATACAGTTAGCAAGCTGGGGTCATAAACTTATCTCTTAGTGTAGGATGACTCATTTAGGAAAGAAATTAGATAACATTAAAAAGGAGAATTCTGTACTAATGTATGGGAAAAACCTTTTCAGATAATTCTCAGCTTTCTAGTTTTTAATACTTCCTTGCAATTAGCATCTCATTTTCTCTAAGAATTGTTATTTGTTCTCTATTATCCACTCCCCTGTTCACTGCCATTATTACTCACATTATACATTATTACTCATATTTTAAGGCCAGTCACTTAAAATACATGCCCTGGTATACAATTCTATCGATGCATCTGATATTATGTGTATGTAATATGTCCGTGTCCCAAATACTAAATATAGAACATTTGAAATCAAACTGTTTTAAGTTGGACAGTTATAAATAGTCAGTCACCACACACCCTTGGCTCAACTGGATATGCCCCTGGACAGGGTCTGTTAGCTGATCAGGGGAGTTTGCTCACCATCACAGACTTGGACCATGTGCCTGCCAACTGATTAAAACAGTGGCTCCCACAGTGATGTCCCAAGATAAGCAGCTTTTGGGAGCCAGTTAGACATGTGGATTCCTGACACCACCTGAGACCTGCTGAACCAGGAACTGCTGGCAGTGGTCGAGGGACACAATGCTACGAACAGCTGCACAGGGACAAACAACTGAAGAAACGGTGTAGCTCTACAGAAGAGGCAGTATCTGTCAATTTTTTTAAAAACTAGATTTTTGTACACACACAAAGAATAAATAAATAATAAAGCATAATTTAAGAAAATTTTAAAAAGAAAATATGTTTGGACAATGACATATTTCTTTTAAAAATAACTTATTATTCACTTTTCCATTAAACTTTTTTTGATTCATTTTTAAAAAACTAGATTTTAAAAATTCAACAAACACGATGAGGGCTGGGTGTGGTGGCGTACACCTTTAATCTCAGCACTTGGGGGACAGAGGCAGATGGATCTCTGTGAGACTGAGGCCAGCTGGGGCTATAGTGAGATCCCACCCCTCAAAAAAACTCAAAACAAAAACAAATCAATAACCCAATGACAGACCAAAATATAAATCCCATTTCATTTCTTCTCTGCACATCTTGATGTAAGACAAACGGCCCTTTAGAGACTGGAAATATTTGATGTCATCCTCTCTGGTCCAGCTACCATGGCCAGGCTGCTTCTCAGATTCAGAAAAATATCAGAAACCCCCTTCTGTCTCCTCTTCAAATTAAGATAACAACAGCAAAAGAGGATAAAGGAAGAGAATCCTCACCCTAGGTGGATCTCAACTAGGTCTATATGGCTTATAATTTCAAATTCAGCTGGAAGACTAACCAAAGTGACACACAATCCATCAGTTATGACAGGTGCTAGTGGTGAGTGCCTTGGGGTCCTACAGAAAGTGGCAGCACAGCTCAGGTGAGCAGTTCCATCAGTGCACTGTGCACTGACAGATGCTGCAGCTGGAGAAAGACACTTCAGTCCTGAAAGACTCTCTCTCCCTTCCCCCAACCCTGATCTTCCCATTGCTCTAATTAAACAATACTAGTAAGAGTTACTGCACCTACAAGTACATGAGGGACTCTCCTGGCATTTGTAATTTTCCAAAGTACCTTGATTCTCCCTCATCCGACCATGAAGGGTCCTTGTCAGGGGGCCAGAAAACATCAAATAAAAAACACTTAAAAAGCAAGACCACTTGTGAGGCTCATCTTTACTTCAGAACTCTTTGGTGTATCACACTCTTGCCACTTGAGTTTCTACATCTCCTAGACAGGGAGGACCTCAGCTAAGCACACAGGCTTCTAGAGGACCAAAGTCCCTACTTATGGTGGAATTGAGAGGACGCTATGGGTGGACACAGGTGAATACAACTAAGCAAGGATGTGACCATTCTAAAATACACTCAATGAAAAAAAATTCACGTGGCAAAACAGAAACTGATACTGGTCAGTAGCAAAGATGAGGGATGATACAACTTGGAAATTAACTGTTAAGTTTGGGGCTAGAGAGATGGCTCAGCAGTTAAGTGCACCGGCTGTTCTTGCAAAGGACCTGGGTTCAGTTCTTACTACTCACACGGCAACTAACAACTGTTCATAACTCCAGTTCCAGGGGATCAGACACCCTCTTCTGGCCTCTGAGGGCATTGCATGCATGTGATACGCTTACATACATGCAGGCAAACATTCATACACATAATAAACAATTTTAAAACATTAAAAACTGTTAAAGTTTGCTGTCTGGCCAATTGGCAGGTGCTGAGTTATCATGTGCTTCTAAGACAACCCTCCCTATGGGACATGTTGCAGTAACAGACATACATTTTTGCCCCCACAATGATGAATATGCAATTCCCCCTACTCAAAGGAACTGCTAAGCTACACTCCTGTACAAACAATGGAGGAAGAAAACAACTGAAATGGGTGTGCCTGCTGAAACAGCACTGACAGAGATGCCATGATGGCTGGTTTTGGTTGTCGACTTGACACACCTGAGAAGAAGGACCCACCACTGAAGAATTTCTTTCATCATACTGACCCGTGGGCATGCCTGTGTGGTATTTTCTTGATTATTAATTGATATGGGAGGGCCCATACCACTGTGGGCTGTACCATCCCTAGAAAGGCAGGACTAAGCTATTTGAAAAAGCCTGCTGAGCCAGCCCCTAGAAGTAGCCAATAAGCAGTGTTCTTCCATGGTTCCTGCTTCTGTTCCCTCTTGAGCTTCTGCCCTGGCTCCTTTCAGTGATGAACTGTGACCCAAAAGTGTAATTAAAATTAACTCTTTCTTCCCCAAGTTGCTTTCGGTCATGGTATTTCATTATAGTAGCAAGAAGCAAACTAGGATTGATGATAATTTGTAATTAACTCCTGGGTTTTAATTCTCTGAGTTTCTTCGTTATTATGAATTCACTACCTTTGCTATTATCTACAAGTTCTAATTGTAACTAGGATATTAAACACAGTGTTGTTATGACATGCTCATTAAATGTGATACTTCACACCAGTACTTCCTGTAAAATGTAAATATTATTTTTGATTGAAAGGAAATGACATTGGCATGACTTCTCCAGGGTCTTTCGCTCCTAAGGAAATGGTCTCATTGGCATTAAGATTAGTTCTGGAATTCATGACTGTTCTTGAGTTCATGAGATAATCCTGTCAAGGGTGAGTTCGTAGGTGGCTTAAGGCAAGACCTGTGCACCCTAATATCTTCAAAAGCTGGGGAGAGACCGGGCGTGGTGGTGCAAGCCTTAATCCCAGCATTTGGGAGGCAGAAGCAGGTGGATCTCTGTGAGTTCAAGGCCAGCCTAGTCTACATAGTGAGTTCCAGGCCAACTGGGGCTACAGGGAGACCCTGTCTGAAAAAGACCAAAAACATAGCAAGGGAGCCCTGACATTGCCATATGCCAGATCACATAAACAATACAATGATTCCAAAGAACATAAAGCTGAAAGTTAATCAATTTCTTTTACCTTCCTATTCTGTGCTAGAAGTTAATATAAAAGAAACTATAGAAGGTAGAAATGTGAATATATGTATGTAATATATATTTTATACCATAGGACTAATATACAATATGCAACATATTATAATAGAATATTATATAAATATATATTATATATAAATTAGTGTTTGTTTAATATGTGTATATACACAGAGACATTCATTGAAGTGCTTATGAATTCAGAATAATTATAAGCAATCTGTACCTGAGCCAGGGTTTGTTACATCCAGTTGATAGAATACCAAGGTTAAGTGCTTTTGCAAAGACAATATTGTGACATAAGAATTCTAGGTAAACGTAAGTTTCAAAATTAAGACTGCATATCAATAAAATCTGAATTTTAAGGTAAAAACTTGAAACACACTAGGAGGAGACTAAAAGAAAAATAGGGCAAGGTGCACTAGTGGTTATGTCACAGTGATAGGATTATAGTGATTCATAAAATTTTCATTTTATACTTTTCAATAGACTCTACAATAAGTAATTCTATTCAACAAAATGTAAGAGACTTCAAATTTTGTGTATCTTGCACTTAATAATGCTTTGTACATACAATGTGATAAAACAAACTGGAGTGACAAAGTTGTATTGTGGCTCTAGTATCTACTACTGTCTGTGCAGCTGACCCGAGTCCCTCCCACCATGGGACTTTCATTGACGTCCCAGCTCTACACCAGGCACCCACCTGGGAAGGTGTTGTCACGTTGATTTCTGGAACAAAGTTGTCCTCAAAGAAATTGATGATGTTCTCTCGCTGCAGCTCCTTTGTCGGGGTGACTTTAGGCAGAGGTGGGACAGGAGGTCCTTTCCTGGTCTAGGAAGCATCAAATACAGACATTATGACAGTGAAAGATGCTGGCTGTAACATCTTTGAAGAACTTACACATGAACAGCTATATATGAGCAGACTGATTTCTGACTGAAACAGATCTGTACATAGATATAAGTCTACTTGACTGAAGTCAAGAATGCTGTCCACTTGGGTGGCTCTCTGAGCCCTAATGGGCAGTAGTCCAATAGGATAAAGTCAGGCCATGAGCTGAGAGCCCATTCATCCTTGTTCAAGTACTGCCCAGGGCTGCAGGACCTCTGAGGTTAAATGTAGGCCACACATTCTCTGAGCTTAACTAGAAATGATTTCTCACTTCAGCAAACCGAAATTTCAAAGCTAAAATCAACTTTCCAGCTGCGTCGACAAGACCAAGCAGAAACAGCTTCTACCTTACTTCCCATCACAGGCTTTTGAAATAAGAATGTCAGAATCTATTGTACCTATCTTCTTAGAACTTTCCAGTTTCCACCATATTCAGAAAAGTTTGTACTAAACCATGAACGCTAAGTTTTACAAGAATATTATTTTCACTCAGTATAGGGAAAACAAAGGTAATGATTTTTCTTTTCCATTCCCTTTGCCTGATCCTCACTTCATTTGTTCAGGAGTTTTATCATGTGTAACACACTGTAAGTGATGTATCAACATTACCGCACTTCTGGACAGTACCTGAACCTAGTGTAACCCAAAGCACTCAGGAAGAAGGTAGGACAGGATGGAGCTTTGAAGATGACGTATTGGTTTTGCAAAGCTGGGAATTGAGCTCAGGACATGGTGCAAACCAGTTAAGTGCTCCTATACTAAGCCGACTCCCAACCTCTGAGAGTAGGAGACAGTGAAGATGAGCACAAGACAGTGTAAATGAGCACACACCAGCCCAAGGAAGCTGAGGCTATGGTAAGACAGCCTAAGGAATTCAAACACCCAGCACAGGGGGAAATACAAACACCAAATAAAAAGTAGATTGATTCTTCACTGGCAGCCATCATGTCTACAACCTCATACATCAATTTCCTTCCCCACTGGGAACTTCTAATGCCTAAACCCCACAGTATAATCCCAGATAGAGCCATGACCCCATGAGTTCCGCTATGTCCCAAGCCACAGTATAATCCCAGATAGAGCCATGACCCCATGAGTTCCGCTATGTCCCAAGCCACAGTATAATCCCAGATAGAGCCATGACCCCATGAGTTCCGCTATGTCCCAAGCCACAGTATAATCCCAGATAGAGCCATGACCCCATGAGTTCCGCTATGTCCCAAGCCCAAGTTCCTACCTGTGAAGGTGACCTGGGCCGCACTGGGGCAGGAGACGCAGGAGCTAGTGCGTGGTTGGGGCTGGCTGTTGGGCTGGGTAGGGGTGAAGCCTCCTCCGGGGGTGATGGTGTCTTTGCAATGCGGAGAGGACCTGAATCACTGGATGGACACAGAGGATTGAGCAAGGGGACTTCTGAGCATGACTCCTGTGACCCAACAGTCTCCATCCCAGAGACACCCTGAAGCTTAATGGGATTGTCTGTTCTCTAGTTCCCATTTCCAGGTTAATTCTGGTTATTAGTAACAGGATCCTGATAAGTGGCACCACCTAATGTTCCTGTGAGCCAGGCTCCATTCAGACCTTATCTCTTTTCATCACAGCAGCCCTGCAACATTGTCCCCATTGTACAGATATAAAGAGTAGAGTGTGAAGAGATTAAGGAAAAAGCCGGAAGTCACTATGTGTTTTACTGGATTTGAACTTTGTTTTAGTACAAACTTCTTGTTTTCTCCACCATGCCAAACAAAGTTAAAAGACTCTTCCAAGCATAAGCTTAATTAATATAACCATTTTCCTTTTTCATATAAAAGAGAATCATGGTATGTCACTCTGTAAAAAACCTACCCAGAAAACTGTATATTTTATTTCCAAAACATCTCAAGAGAGTATTAATAAATCTTTTGTGGGAGTGTTTTCTGATTACACTTGGAGATTCACTAATTACTTCTTTCTACACCTTAAGAAACAATGACTCAACTCAAACACTTCGCATGTGCCAGGAAATCGTGTGACAGGTGAGATTCCTGCAGCTTCTTGAGAAGCCACCATGTTCCAGGCACCCTGCCAGATGCTTGGGAACAGCAAAACACAATGATTCAGACAGCACTCGGGACACATCCTACTCTCTAAGAACTGAAGACTACTGCTGGAAAGAACAGATTCAGTACCCTAAAGAGCACAGACACAGCCACACGGTCTATACACTTGAGTTAGGGAGTCAGGCCTTCGGGAGAGGAGACACTACATAATGGGGGCTGTGGGTCAGCAATCATGAACAGACTGGAAACAGGCCCAGTCTATGTAAGTCTAGGAGATCCCACAGCGCTAACTCACCACCTTGCTCTGCAAAGGAATGTCAAAGCAGAAAGAAGAAAAAAAGGAACATTAGTTAAGTGGTTGGTCCCTGCTTCCTGCTTTATCCAATTCAGAAATTCTGAAATCTTCAAATGGATCTGTCTCGTTCATTTCTATAAGAGACCAACTCTTACTTTCTTAATGTATATTATTTTGACAATATCTGAAAGCCATTTTGATAGTCTTAGTCTTTCTTCGTTCCTAGCTCAGTATTGAAATAACAATGTCAAAACACGAATCTGCCCCTTTTCAATTACTTCTGACCCCTTCCATGTCATCTTTTAGGCAATGTTCTCTCCCTTAGAGGAAGAGAACATCCCTGCTGTTCACTGTGGACAGCAGGCATAGTGGAGGGGTGCAATTATGGCCAATCTAAGAAACAGTGAAGGACCAAAAAAAGCTATCTTCAGACACTGACATAGAGATTGATTTGTGCATGTCTATGCATGATTCTATAAATGCATTCCTCGGAGTGTTTACAATGACTGGTATTAAAATAACAAGCATAGAATATGAGGATTGAATATTGCCATAGAGGCCATTTAGTTTCATAATGTCCCACTTTTCTATAGATTTTTATCAAAAATGAACTCTTCGCCTAGAGAGGTTATTGGCCTTAAGCAAGTAAAACAAAGCAAATTACCACAGAAGCATAAACGGAAATCTGAGGCTGCTGACTTCTAGCCCAAGGCTTGCTAAGTCTGGATGGAATAAAAGAGATTCCAAACCCATAGGAGAAAGTTGTTATGAAGCCAAACCAAGGTAAACAATTCCCCCATAAGTCACTGGGACCTCTGCCTGTGACCAGCATGCTCCAACAGTAATGTGCAATGGCTCAGCGACAAGGCAGCGCTGTGGGGTGAACAACAGATCAAAGGCAAGGGGATGATGAGGTCTCTCCTGCTTCGTTCCTTTCCCCCAGATGGATAAGAATCAGCACTAAATATAGTTTGGGAATTCTTTCTTTGCTAGAGAAAGTAACAAGTAGAAAGCCTCAAGTCTCATGCCATTGCTCACAGGTCCCTTGGAAAGCAGAGGGGAGTTACTTCTCTTGTGACAAAGGAGCCTCCTGGGGTAGCTGAAGACCAGAAGTAAATACAAAACCACAAAACTAAGGTTGGTGTGACTCTAGGTAGAAGGACTCTTTTCAGACTACAGAAAATCCAACTAACAGCACATTAAAAGTAAATGGAGCAGAACTACCTCTGAGGAACAGTGGCCTACCTGGGGGCTCCTTGAATGGTGAAGGCCTTGTCAGCATGCTGGTCACCCAGTTTCGTCATCACTTCATACAGCTTGTGGCAAAGCTAGGGGGATAAAGACCACTTGTTTAGTAGTTGAGAGGCATTCTGATGTCAATCCAGGCTATTCTCCGCAAGAAAGAAATTGTTTATTGAGAAACTCTTATGAGAAATAGGGTGGTCTCAGAGCACTTGAAATTCAATATACAGTCAAATTTAATATCCGCAGCTAAACTGAAATAAACTAAACTAACCCAATGCATTTATTTGTTTACCAGGATATAAGATAGGAAACAAAAGTTTGCCGTTTGCCTCAATTCTACTAGAAATAGTCACATGACTACTGTGTTGCACTAAGAAAATATTAGTGAACAATAGAGCTGTTAATTATTTGAATGTTTTGAGATCGATTTTTCATCAGCTAAAAGTATCACTTGAGATTCCTACTTCTGAACTTAGGAAGAAAACAAGCTCGGGAGGCTATGACTAAATCTTCAAAACATAGAGAACTGTGTGTCTACTGTTAACAAAGCACTATGCAGAGTGCAGAGTAACAGCAGCTACTACCAGAAGCCTGCAGGAGGCAGAATTCCTCGGGTCATGCCCTGCTGGTCCATGCCCTGCTGTCCATGCCCTGCTGGTCTACGTGCTTCTTCTACTTTACATTCCATAAACAAAACCAGGATTACTTACCACCGCAATTTCCTTGTGAAACTTGGCTTCAAGGCTAGAGACGTTTTTGAAAGTGTTGACATAAAATCCAACTCGTCTACCAGGTTCAAACACAAAGGAGAGAGCAATTAGGAAAAAAATGGACTTTAATGGCAATGAAACATTAAAACTGTTTTCATTATATCATTCCAAATAGCACTGGGTTAAATAACACTCCTGACTTTTCTATACTTGTTAACAGACAGAAAACATTTTTCAGTCTGGGGCAGAACCTCTCCTGAAATTCAGTTACCACCTAAGACAGTGGTTCTTGGCCGTGTAGTGCATCAAGGCTGCCTGGAACACCGTTTTCCAATTTAGTAGGTCTGAGGGTAGAGATGGAGAACAGATATTTCCAGGTAATGCCAAGTCTGACAGCTCAGGGAGCACTTTGGAATCACAGTCCTGGGATACACCCATAATTTATATGTACTTTGAACGATCTGAGGCTGGGGTTATTTTTCATTTTGTATAAATTGTAAATGGTCTAGGTTCTGTGTTATATTAATGTCCCAAATCTGTGTGATAGATTAGTTCTTGCTATTTAACAAAAGCAAAAGTGGGTTATCATTGAGCAAGTAAAACACAAGCAGCCCATCAGCAAGGTCTAAACATGTTTATAAAGGGAAGCCATGGGAGGAGACAAATTCAGTCTGTCTTCATTTAAGATCCCTAAGAGTAAGCACAAAAGTCAAATGCAGATTCAGCTTCATACCTCCAAGATAAATTCCTTCACTAAATCAGAGTCTTTGGACTCTATTAACTTAATTCTTTTGTATCCATCTGAGTAATCACAAATTTAATTTAATTCATTTTCTTGTTTCAAGGGCATTCTCAAAAATAACTTCAGCATCCTGATTGTTTTAGATTCCAAATCTCAATCCAAAACCAAGTAAGGATGTATTGAGGAGAAACATTATGTAGAACTAATAGATGGACTAGCACATACGCAGAGCCTTTATAATAGAGTTGGAGACTAAGATGTGCCCATATGCAATAGGTACCCATCTTCACGTAGACCATGGGGTTAGACAACAGAAGAAGCAAGGATCTTCCTGTGCTTAAGCTGCATCTTGCAGTGGGCAGGATTCCAACAAGCAGCAATGAGCAATGAGTCGACAGAAATAGGAGTCCTCAACAGTCCCCTGGGGTGGTAAACACTACACCCACAGTCATCATGTGACCTTGATTTCATATATTTCAAACCATATATAATTGTATATCTGTATATATACAATCGGTTCTTTGTACCTAAGGATTCTATGTCCTGTGAGTCAATCAACTTGGATTAAGAAATGTCAGGAATAAAGATTGAATCTATGCTGAACATAGAAAGACAGTCTTTCTCGTCTTCATTTCTTGAACAATACAGTAAAGCAGCTAGCTGTGCTGCATAGCTTTAGTGTCAACTTGACACACCTGGATTGAGGGAGCCTCAGTTGGGGAATTGCCTTCATTGGGCTGGCCTGTGGCCATGTCCATGGGGCACCTTCTTGATTATTGAGTGATGTGGGAGGGCCCAGCCCACTGTGGGTGGAGCCACCCCTGGGCAGGTGGGCCTGTGTTGCATAAGAAAGCAGCCTGAGCAGGGGTCAAGGGAGCAAGCCAGTAAGCGGATTTCCTCCATGGTCTGTGCTCCAGCTTCTACCTCCAGGTTCCTGCCCTGAGTTCCTACCTTGGGCTCCCTGATGAACTGTGACCTGGGAGATGAAAGCTAAATAAACCCTTTCCTCCCCAAGTTGGTATTGGTCAGAGTCTTTTGTCACAGCAATGAAGAAACAAACTAGGACAGCAGCTATTTACAAAATATTCTCATGGCACTAGGTATTCTAAGTAATGATTTAAAGTACGCAGGAGAGTGTGAGCAGATCACACACTATGCCATTTTAAATAAGGGACTTGAGCAGCCCTGGGATTTTGTTTCCACTGGGGGTCCTGGAACCAATTCTCCATAGATACAGGGTACAATTATAATATATTTGCACATGCACATACACTTAGCATACAGGCATATATTAATAAACATACTGTTATAATATGTCTAGAAATAGTGAGTATTCAAGCGTGTCAGACCAAAGACTAGGAGGTAAGAGCCCAGTAAGGCAGATGGTTCTCAGGGGCAGAGGCTCTTGCCAGGCAATAAAGCATATTAATTTACTAGCAAGAAGCATGAGGATGTGTTTGAGATAGGGGAGAGGACTGGACTTGCACTTGAATTTGGGGAAGGTAGCTAACACAGAGAGGAATGGGAAAGGGGAGACACTGCAGGGTCCCTGAGAGCACTGAGCAGAGGAAACCACTCACTGTGCTGTTGGCAGATAAACCTTTATGGGACATGGGGGCAGAAACCCACAACTACTTTTCTAAGACTACAATCAACAGAGGCAATATTCTTAATACCTTTCTCTGTTCAGTCACTCAACAAAATGTACCCAACTCTGAATTTACCCATGGTAGTAGTCTCATGTGACATCATGAACTTAAAATCCAGTTGGAATACTCAGAGAAGCTTAGTGAACATGTGTTCCACTCATATTTAAATGAAATTATATAAAAAGAAACAGAAAAACAAATTACTAAATTGCACGTGAATGGTAAGATACAACAGTAGTCCATATATGTTTAAATATCAGAAATGAGTTAGATATGGGCACAAAAAGCTAAAGGAACCCAGAGGACAGGGGGTAGTGGGCAATGTGTCAGGTGCAAATCTGCTTGAGAAGACAAACTGGCTCACCAACAGGATCTGATTTAACTTGAAGAGGGGCTGAGATGAGAGGGCTGTGTGCCATTAAAATTAATGGGTGAGTATTGTTTTGATATCATCGATTTTTAATTTTTTTTTTATTCATTGCTCTCTGCTCTTGGCTTTGAATCTTAGAGGACGAGCTTCCTTAATCTCCTGCTGCTGTGAGTTCCCTGCCATGATGAACCTGAAATTTTGAGCCAATGAAATAAGTAAACTTTATAATTTTTTTTCCTTTTTTTTTTTTCTTTCTTTTGTCTTCTTGAGACAGGTTCTCCCTGTAGCCCCAGCTGGCCTGGAACTCACTATGTATAGCAGACTGGCCTTGAACTCACAGAGATCCACCTGCCTCTGCCTCCCAAGTACTGGGACTAAAGGTATGCACCACCATGCCCAGGTGAAATAAGTAAACTTTTGTGCACAGCTTAATATTTCCTTAGAATATGTTTCATGCACGCACGTTCTGATGAAGGGCATGGATAACAAAGCCTGATGTTTTCTGTCAAACTGTTCCTACCTGGGTGGACCATTTGTATTCTGAACTGGATTATCACCTTATATAGCATCTCATCAACTTTAAAACTTCTCTTCCTTTAAAATTTAAATATTTGTTCATTTATTTATTGCCATTTTGTAAACACCTATTCATATTTTTAGCATATTTTGTGGTCTATTTTCACTATAAATTTGTAAGAACTGTCTGACTAAATATATTAAATTTATACTATATTGACCATAAAAGAAAAATAATATCTACCTGTGATGGTTAATGTTAAATTGTTAACTTGATAGAAATTAGAATCTTCTGGGATATGGGCCACTGGGCTTCTCTGTGGGACTGTCCTGATTACGTTAATTGAGGTGGGAAGATCTGCCTCCATCGGCAGCATCATTCCCTAGGCAGGGGATTCTGAGCTGGTAAGAGTGGAGAAAGTGAGCTGAGCACTAGTAGTATGGGTGCATTCATTACTCCCTGCTCTTGGTTACAGATGCAACATGACCAGTCATCACCAACGACCCGCATCCTGCAGTTATGAGTTCCTTGTCTACTGTAATCTGGAGTCAAAGAAACCCTTTCTCCCTTAAATTGCTTTTGTCAGAGTATTTTATTACATCAAGAGGAACTAAGATGCTCTTCCATGTTTAAATTCTGTTTCCAGGGCTGGAGAGACGGCTCAGTGGTTAAGAACACTGGCTGTTCTTGCAGAAGACCTCGATTCCAATCCCAGCATCCACATGGCAGCTAACAACTGTCCATAACTCCAGTCCCAGGGGATCCGACAGCCTCTTCTGTCCTCCGAGGGCACTGCATGACACAAGTGCACTTACCTACATGCAGGCAATACACGCATACCCATAAAATAAAAATAATAAATAAAAATTTTTAAAGTTCTGTTTCCTTGTCACAGTATTTTTTTTGAGAAACATTTTTGTTTAAAGAAACTGATGCAGTACCAGAAAGAAATCTACTACTTAAAATACTTCTCTCTCTTCTTGCTCTCCTTCTTTCTCTCATATGTATATGTGTGTGCATGTAGGTGTACGTGCATGTAGGCACATGGTGGTCAGAGGTGCACTGTCTACCTTATTTTTGAGACAAAGTATCTCACTGAACCTGAAGCACAACAACTGACTAGAATGGTGGTTAGGGAGCTCCAGGGATCCACCTGCCTCAGCCTCCTGGTTTAGTGGTTACAGATGCATGCCAACATGCCAGCTTTGTATGGGCACTGGGGATATGATCTTATACTTGCAAAGCAAGCACTTTACTGACTGAGCCATCTTCCCAGACCCTATTTCTCATCTTTATATATCCAAACATTTAAGACAATGTTCTGTACATAGAAGCAATGAACAGACAAGGAACAAAAGAGCATAGAACACACTGAAAACAAGCATCATATTTAATAGCATCCACAGAACAGAAAAGGAACAAAACTGAGAACAAGCATCAAATTTAGTAGCATCCACAAGAGACACATTTTGACTCAGAGGCAAAAAGTTTGAAAGTAAAAGAATGGAAAAGGGGTGCTTCATGTAAAGAGTAAGTGAAAGAAACCTGGAGCAGATATCAGGCAAAAATTTATTAAGAGACACAGAAGAGAGCACTTTGCAGCTGAGTGTGGTAGTAGGTACCTATAACCCCAGCATTTGGGAGGCAAACACAAGAGGAGCAGGAGTTCAAGATTATTCTGTCTACATAGTGAGTTCTAGGTCATCTTGTCTACATAGTGAGTTTGGGGCCAGCCTGGGCTACATGGGACCCTGTCTCAAAAACAAATAAGAAAAAGAAAGAAGAAAGAAAGAAAGGGGGGAGGGAGGAAGAAAAGAAAGTAGGACATTTTTATATAGATGAAATCCTCAATCATTAAGAAAGCACATGAACTATAAATATAAAAAAATATATAAAATAAAAGCTGCAAGAACTTCAGGGCTGGAAAGGTGACTCAGAAGTGAAAAGCACTGGCCACTCTTCCAGAAGACCCAGGTTTGGTTTCCAGCAACCACATCATAGCTAGCAACCATCTATAACTCCAGTTCCAAAGGATCTAATGCCCTCTTCTGGCCTTTACGGGTCTGCATGCATGTGGTGCACTTACATACAGTCAGGCAAAACATCCATACACATAAAATTAAAAATTATTTATTTATTTATTCATTTATTTAGTTAAAAATAAGCTAACAGAATTGAAGAGAAAAATGACCTGAAAATATTTGGTTGACTGATAACTCAGTTTCAGTGATGAATAGAATAATTAAGCAGAAGACAGAAAAGAGAAGACCTGACCAACATTGTAGTTCAACTGGAAGTAATAGATACTTTTTGAATGGATATGAAGAGTTTGATGCAGAAATTCATGCATCCATCAGTTAATACATGCTCACTGCTGCATGTGCAGTACTGTGCATTTCCCCACAGGAGACACAAGATTAAAAATACTAACTTTAGCTTCAGGGCTGAGCAAGACAACTTGAATAAGAACATATGTGCTTAGGAAGTAACTTGAAACGTCATGACTGTGTATGATCTCATTTCCATTAAAGAGAGTCATAGATAAAAGAAGCAGGAACAAAAACCACACAAGTGTTTTACTTGCTTCTATTAGGACTTAAAAGCTTTGTAATCCTAGGGAAGATGTTCAGTCAATATGACCCACAGCTTCTTCATCTATAAGATGAAAATATTAATAAGAACAATGATTATAACCTGCTATGTCAAGTATAAACATAATACTTGGCAATAGGAAGTATTCAAAACATGTTCTCTCTCACACATCACACACACACACACACACACACACACACACACACATACACACACACCACTATTATTGTGGCCAAGTCATCTGCAGTTAGATAAAGTCTATACTATAAAGAAGGGAAAGTCAAAGCCAGTTTGGATCAAAGGGCAGGATTTGGAAAAATCTAGGACAGAGGCCTGAGTGCCAGAATTTTAAATGAGATTTGTTCAAAAGACTTTCAAACATTTATATTGTGTATAAACTGAGACAAGGAAAGGTTTCCTTTCAATGCTGTCCTTCAGGTGGTCGCTCCATTTTTACATCACTACAAAGTCTTTCATTTTATAAGAGGTTATGAAAAAAATTCATTTAAATTATCAAGTAATGTTTAGAAGGGCAACACAGTCTGAAATAATATCAGTTAATGATAGTTTGGGATGATTACAGATTGCACTAGAAAACAAATTAGTTTCACATTCAATTCATATTAATGCAAATAATATGTATTTGTCTCTTGGTGATTTGGGCAATTTTTCCTAGAACATTACTTCGTGATTGTCTACTGGCAATTTTTCAAAGGTATAAATGGAAGTTGCGAACACTGTGGTACCTCAATCTTTTAAAAGGTCAGTATGCCACAGGCTAAGTAATAGTGTTGTATATCACATAATTTCCCTTACAGGAAAAAATTAATATATGTAAACAACTACACATATTAGAAAAAGACTACCTCTTTTCTTGGCCAGTGCAGGGGATGGGATCCAGAGTCTTTCACATGCTACACAGGTTTTCTTCCAACCGAGCAGTACCCCAGCCCCAGGAAGGGAATATCCATAAAGAAAAATTATAAGCTCTGGGGAAACATGATGCTTGATTTTTTGTGAAGATAAAGACAGGGAAACTGTGGTGGTTTGAATGGGAATGTGCCCCATAGGCTCCAAGTTTTAGACATTTTGTCCGCAGTTGGTGACACTGTTTTAAGAGGTGTGGCCTTGCTGGAGGAAGCATGTCACTAGGGGCAGGCTTCGAGAGTCCATAAGCCTTGCCAGATTTCCAGTTGTTCTCTGTTTCCTCTGCCTGCTTGAAGATGTGAGTGCTCTGCTTTCTGATGTGGCCAACCCCTGCCACCATGCCTCCCTGCCATGACAGATTCCTATCCCTCTGGAACTATAAGCACAAATAAAGTCTTCCTTTAAATGTGCCCTTGGTCACTGTGTTTTATCACAACAGAAAAGTGACGAATACAGAAATCAAGACGGATGTAAAAATTCTGTGTTCATAGATGAAAGCACTCCATGAAACGTGACTGTAAGATGTAATATTTCTAATACAAAAAAACCTCATGTACTTTGTTTTCTGAGTCGGTCTCATGCAGCTTAAGCTGGCCTCAAACTTGCTAGATAGCTGAGAATGAACTGCAGCCATCATCCTCCTTTCTTCGATTCCTGAGTGCTGGGATGATTGGCATGTGCCACCATGTTCAGCTGATGTGGTGCTAGGGATTGAACTCAGGGACTTCATGCCTGCTGGGCAAGCACTCTACCAAATGAGCTACATTCCCAGCCTATAATCTGTGATTTTAAGTAGATGTGAATGGTTAAGTTCAATTTATAAATAGATTAGTCAAATCTATTCTGGTTGCCGAAAACCTTCACTTGTAGAGAGGAGCACACTGGGCACATCCAGTAAGGTCCTGTGCTGGCCATAGAGCTGTCAAGGTGGAGTTTCTCAAATACGTGCACAGGATGAAGATGAAGAAAATATGAGAGTAAGACAAACCATAATCCACCAAAACATAATGAGGTTTGGGGGGGTAGCATTAAGAATAGAGAGTCACAACTCACACTGAAAAGTTATGGATTGTTCCCTTTGATGGGCTTTTAGTTTCCCCAATTGATAACTCCAAAACTTTAAGACCTGAACTCCAGGAGCAATGGTACCGAAAAAGAAATACAGATGTTCAAAGAATGAGTGAAGTCAGGTGAACAAAGAGCTAATGTTACAGGGTGAATTCTCGGTGGTTACTGGACATTGAGGTAGAGGTGTTCTGCAGGCAAGTTTTACAGTGAACTCACCAAAATTTCAACAAGATATTTCAGGAGTTCAAAAATAAATACAAGGGGCCTGGGGAGATGGCTCAGCAGTTAGGAGGGTTTACTTCTCTTACAGAGGACCTGCATTTGGTTTCCTGTGCGGTGCCCACAGCAGGTGGCTTACAAACGTCTGTAACTCTAGCTCCAGGGGATCAGATATACTCTTCTGATCTCCATGGGGGGCACCATCAATGAAATGCACATAAACCTCTTATACATACACATAATTAGAAATACAATAAATCTCTAAAAGCAAATACTCAATGCTCATAATAGACAAAAAGTTAAGAGGATTAGAGATGAACACAGAAGTTGCCAAACTCTAGATGAGATCCTCAAAAACTTTACAGTAGAAGCTGGAGAATCTGTACGTATAGGAAGATCTGCAGGCATCATCCAGTCAGAAGCTAGGACTAGAGAACTCAGTTGACTGAAATATTGCATGGCAAGCATAATGTTTTTTTTCATAAGGGTGATGGGGAGAGGTACCGATGGGAACTGAGGGACAAAGCCTCACTGCTCCCAGTCGCTTCTTGGTTCTACCACTGAGTAGGGAAAACTGAACAAACTATATAGGTTGCTCTTGGTACTATGACTATGAGAAATGCAGAACACCTGTAAATAAGAACAGCATTGACTGTTTGAAACAGGAATGGAGGGGCTGAAGAGATGGCGCAGCGGTTAAGAATACTGGTTGTTCTTGCAGAAGACCCGGGTTCGAATCCCAGCACCCACATGGCAGCTAACACCTGTCTGTAACTCCAGCCCCAGGGGATCCGACAGCCTCTTCTGACCTTCGCAGGCATTGCATGACACAGGCACACTTACCTACATGCAGGCAATACACGCATACACATAAAATAAAAATAATAAATAAAGTTAAAAAAAAATAGGAATGGAGCCCAGGTTAAAACTTCAAAGAACATCGAGGTCAGAAGACTAGATGAGCTCTCAGACTAAAGAAAATTTCACAAGGAACTGAAAAGACCATACCATAAAGTTTTAAGTTTAAGGGCAGTTTTAATTCTTCTAATTAAAATTTCAGCCTCCACAGATCTCAAGGTCTAAAAATAGAATACCCACAATGGGCAGCTGCCAGACACATGGCGATATTTAAATTAAAAGGACTTAGAATAAAATAATCCTAAAGTTCAGTTCCTCAATCTACCCAACCACATTTCAAGTACTCAATAGCTGTAAATGGCAAGTACTGCAATACTGTCCAGATACATAGCTTCCTTTGTATAGCACTGAAGCGTCACAGACAGTAATGGTGAGGTGGGGGATATTCACTCTTCTTGAACAGCTAAAGGGGGCATGTACACCTGGCACAGAAACATATTTACCTTGACCATAACGATGGCAACTCTTCTTGTAAATCGACATTAAACTCCTCAAAAACTTTCTGTGCTTTTTGAAATTCCTCTTCTGCCTAGAAATGACACACAATACATGTTTACAGAAGATACTGGTCACTGATGCTCCCTCCAGAAAGTCCCAGGCCAGTGGGAAGCCTAAATCATGACCAGACATATTTTCATGATAGACTTACAATTTGTTATGGAGCACAATACTGTGTGTGGAAAAAGGTATAAAGAAGACAGATGCTTCCATATAGCAAAGGGATATTTTAATTGGATCTTGAACAATCACAAAGTGTTTACTAAAGAATGTGATGGAGGTGCCGCCACCAAACATAAGGCAGAGATCCTCCAGCTGACATTCTAGCTGCTCACAGCAGCACCTTGCCAGGCTGTTTTACCTTCTTGGACTGCCCAATCTTCGATGAGTATGAAGGAAATGCAAGGTGATGAAATGCTGAACAGAGGGCCTGGCATCTATCAGGCCTTACATGAAGGGCCACTGCTATCATAGGTAATCAAGAACTGAAGGGTAATTCATTCTGGATTTGCTTAAGGTGGGTGTATGTATGGAAGGAGGAAAGGGAGGAGGAAAAAACTTGGAATTTGGTAAGGATGGACAGGCAAGTTATAACCAAACTATGAAGGTCTTATAGGCCATGTGAAGGAATTTTTTTTTTCTAATGAGAAGTATTAAAAGAGGGAAGCAGTAGGGAAACTCATCTAGAAGAGTGATGGTGAAAGATGATTTGGCAGCTGTGTGCAGTAGCTAAGACAAAGCAAGACTGGACTCCAAGGGAACAGTGGATGGCTGACATGAGTTATCTGACATCTACAGGCTGCTGACAAACATGATAATATCTACTGAAATGGGTTTTCTGAATGCTATGCAAATTTAGCATGTCTTTCTTTGGGACAATCAGGAGTTCTGCCTGAGAATTTCACACTTGGCCTCCCATCCGAATCTCAGCCTCCCATCCCATCTCAGTGATGATCATGGACCACACCACACAGGGAAGTGCAGCAACATTTTCCGCTTTCTTTGGTGTTGGAGCACTGCAAGAGACCAAATTATATTCCCATCAGCCCATGTCAGTCTCACCCATGTGCTCTTACTTATAACAGCATGAAAAATGTTATATGACTTAAAGAAATGCGGCTTAGAAGACCATATTTCAGTTTGAATTCTGCCCTAATTCCAGTCTTTGTCTAAAAGGGAAACATTTAATTTTAAAAACAAAGCAGGAAAACATTTAATTTTGAAAACAAAGCAGGAAAACATTTAATTTTAAAAACAAAGCTGCTGAAGAGACCTGAGATGTGGAGAGCCGAGTCACCTGTGGGATCTATCCTCCCGCTGGAGATCCAACCACCCCGCCTACCTTGGAGATGCGGCTCTCATCCTTCCTCTTGGAACTCTGCAAAGCCTCCAGGTGATGGCGGGCGCTATCGTAGTCCACCAACTTCCTGCTGCGCTTGGCGATGCGATTCTGCAAATATGGAAAACGTGAACTGAGGGAGAGATGACCACAGAGTCTCTGACTGCCAAAATTCAAAATGCTTTCCTTGTCCAGAACAGCTGAGAGCTTAAAAGTTTTTTGTTACATTTAAGCATGTATGTGTGTGTGAGGGCTGCACACGCAGAGTTAAAGAACAACTTGTAGGAGTCTCTCCGGGTCTCAGGGACTGAACTCGGGTCCTCAGGCTTGGTGGCAAGGACCCTTACTCAAACTGAACCATCTCATGGCCCAGCACCCGAGAATTTTGATAGACGATAGAGGTGAACAGGAATTTGAGTAGAAAAAGGACATCTGGAAATCATAACAGGGCATCCAGTCCTTTCTGTGGAAGATCTTAGGTAAATGGCTCCCTTTATGATAATAATGAGGACAACCAACAGCAGCTACAGGCCTAAATTGTAGCCAAAGTCTAAGAAAATTCCAGAGTTGGTTTAGGTGGAGCAGGAAACCTTGATTCCCCGTTAGTCTCTGACTTTTAATATGTTGAAGTTTGAAGATAGGGAAAAACTATATTAGATTGGTTTTATAATTATAATAACATACCAATAGCAGTTTCATAAAGCAGAGCTACTTCTTAAGAAATATACTATCAGTCTATCACAGTCTTTCTTTATTACAATCTCCTGGACTAAGGTGTCACTTTGGAAAAGCCCGTGTCTAACACATAGGGCTCCTGCTGATGGTCTAGCTCTATTGTGTGGCTTCCTCTTTAATGACTTTTCACTGCTTGGTCCAGGAATCCTGAACTGCTAGCCATAGAGTGCTTTAGCTTGTTACCCCAGAACTGCAACCTCAGGACCAGGTTTTGGTCGGGATTTGGTTTTGATCAACCATCACTGCCCTCATTTACATGACTTTTATTTGCATCACAGAGATTGCACAACTGGAATTTAGGTGCACCGTGACTCACATCAACCTCCCAGAATTAAACACCAGCCAATCCAGACTGTGATCCTTCACATGGTACAAGTTACTTTGCAGGGAACTACATAAAAGAACATACTATGAACAAAACAGGACTTCTCCAGAATAGAGATCCTCACAGCTCACCACTGAGCTGCACTCTGGATACCGCCCAGCCAGCTGCCTCCCTGCAGTGCACGCTGTATTCTTCCTATTCTGGCACAAAGAAGAATTCATTCCCTGCCTGCTACTGTAGTTTGCCAGTCCACTATAATAAGTTACTTCCACTGCAATATAAAGAGAAAACAGAACTGAAAAACAGAGAATTGGGGCTGCAGACAAGGCTCAGTGGCTCACATTAGCCTGTAACTCCAGCTCCCAGGGCATCTGATGCCCTCTTCTGGCCTCCTGTACACACATAGCCTTCTGGGACCTCTACACACATAGTGCACATATATACACATAAAATAAAAAATAAATACATCTTTTAAAAAAAGAAATAGAAAAATAGAAGCATGCAAAAAGAATAATATAATAATGAATGGTCTAATATTAATGAATTATAATAATGAATTATCTAATATTATATGCATGGGGAAAAAGAGACAGAAGTAATAGATGAAGGCACAATGGATGAGAATTTACAAAATATCAAAAACATAAAAGTGCAGTGAGCCTGTGCTGTAGCCCAGGTGCCGCGGGGATATTCAAAAGACAGACATGTGTGTCCCTCCCTTCAGGTATCAGACTAGTCAAGCAATGGAACCCCCAGAGTCAAAATTTTCCCAGGAATATCATGCTAAGGGGAAGAAAAAAAGCCAACCAAAGGGGAGTTTGCTTCACAGTTCATGCAGTTCTGAAAACTTTCCTACAGTTACTTTAATATGCATACTCTATGGCTTTTGTTTTCCATTCTATATAAAATTATTAAGACAAAGCCAGTATTTCTCTCAAAAAATGTTAGGGTTAGAATCTATATGTTCACAGGCTTATAAGACTCAACATTTATAACAGCAATGTTCTTAATAATACATGTATGCAGTACTAGGTGGCCATCTGTCATAGTATCAAACAAAAGCTTATAAACAAATCTCAGTCAAATACAACACAGAAATGTCATTAAAACTTTTGTTCATTACTTTTGGTTTTCAGCTAAATGTGCTTACCAACATGTATAAGGGTATCTAAAACCAACGTTAGATAAAGAGAAAGAAGTAGAGACGAAATTCCTAGATTTCTCATATTCTAGATAGGTTATATTTTTAAGGTGGTTTCTGGTTGCTGATATACCATCTTATAGCAATCTAAGGACTAATGAAAAGACCTAGGTGAATTCAAGTTACAATAGTCATATGAAATATACAGGAAAAGATTTGTACACGATTAGGTTGGCTACAACCCAAAGCTGTTTATAAGGCTTCTAATGTTTTATGTTTAAAAAAGTGGACTTTAAAAAATGTTTTAAGACAGATGTAGGGTTTTTTCTAGGATTTATGACCTCTCCAGTCATGTGTAATTGGCTATGTTTACAGTGCCATACAAGAGTTCCCTCCCACTGAGCAGGCTTTAAGTTCACTTAGACAGCTGTTGATTACCCTCCAAGATAAAAAGTGTCACTACTGCACCAATACAGTTTTGCTGTGCCAGACATTGTTTGTTATTAGGCTTTAAAGCTGGGATTGGATCATTGATTGTTTTTCTCCCTTAGCAGTTTGCATAGTGTCCTCCAAAATTTCCAGGTCAGTTCCAGCTCCATTGCTCCAAGTCCTGTGTCCAGTATGTCCTGTTTTTGGCGATACGGATAGCTTCAGTTGGATAGCTATGTTGGATAGCTTCAGTTGTCAAACTTGAAACACCCAGTTAGAGGGAACCTCAATTGAGGAACTGGTTCCTTTGGACTGGCCTGTGGTCATGCCTATGAAGCATTTTCTTGATTGTTGAGTGATATGGGAGGTCCAAGCCCACTAGGGGGCGGTGCCCCTGGGAAAGTGGTCATGTATAAGAAAACGGGATGAGCATGGGCCAGAAGAGTAAGCCAGTAGCAGCATTCCTCTGTGGTCTGTGCTTCAGTTCCTGTCTCCAGGTTCCAGTCTTGAGTTCCCACCTTGGCCTCCCTCAGTGATGAAATGTGACTTGGGAGTTTTAAGATAAAATATACTCTTTCCTCCCCAAGTTGGTCTTGCTCTGTGTTCTTATCACAGCAATAGGAAGTAACTAAGACAGGGTCTTACTTTCAAGTTCTGGAAGGTAATGGACTGTGGCAATACACCGTGTTATTTTGGGAGTCTCTTGGACTACACTTACCAATAACTTGAAAGGAGTTTTGGCACTGTGTTTCTTGTTATATAGCCTTAAACTACACATACGCACTTAGGTACAGATATTGTATGTGTATGGGGGTACTTAATGGGAAAGGGAGAAGGGAAGGCTATATAAGGAACCATGGGGGTAAAGGGGAGGCTTTTGAACTAATACATTTCCCTCTGATTTTTCACACCATTTAGGCATTATTTATCTCCCCCCTTCTCTAACTCTTCCCCCTCCCTCCCAGTTAAAGTACTCCTACTTTTCCCATTTTTCCCCTTGAAATACCTGTCTCCTATTATCCTCCCATCTCTTGAGCTCCTTCTTCCTCTTTACCCCCATGGTTCCTTATATATCCTTCTCTTCTCCCTTTCCCAATAAGTACCCCATTATCCTCTTGGTAACATCTGTCACATCCCTAGACGGACATAATTTCTTATTATATACTAAATATGGATCCTTATATTTACAGACAAGTATACATGACACCACTCATCAAAGAAGTTTGTTTTGCAACAGACAGAGACTAATACAGGGTTCCGCAACTGTTCATACCCAGAGAATAAGTGTCTGTGAGATGTCCAACCCTACATGACATATCTACAGTGGAACCTCTACACCCAAGTCTCACTGAACATAGTAGAGCAAAGGGTATAGAGACTATTAATGCACTTCTCAACTCTTACCAGAAAGTTTTTCTCTTGCAACAGTGGGCAATGAACACAGAAGGCCACAATTGGTCAAAGTGTAGAGAATAAAAGACTGCAGAGCGCATATCCTTGGATAGGATTCTTAACATTAAACCTCACCCATCCAGGGCTTAGGGACCATTGCAGAAGAAGGAGCAGAAAAATTCTAAGAGCCGAGGGTGGTGCATGATCATAAGGAAAACAGAATTTTACAAACTCTGGGGAACTTGCTTATATGAACTTATAGCAAACGTGACAGCATGTACGTGACCAGTGCAAATGCAATCAAATGAAAACCAGCATAGAACTGGGGAAATGGGCAGAAGGCCCCAACCTTAGCTTAGTAAATATTGGCAGCTGATCGCTGCTGAGCGAGGGAGGGTTGGTCTTCTGTAAGGGAGTGATGTTAGATAGGCTGAACAGGCCAGTGGATGAACACACACACAGAGACTTCTGGGTACACAAACAGGACTCCACAGGCCTTACCATATATAACAAAATGCATGAAATCCAGTGGGTGGGCTATGGGGGGGTGCAGATAGGGGAGAGGGCATAAATATGCTTAAGATGTATGAAATCCACAAAAATTCAATAAAAAATACACATTGAGAAAAAACTTGATGTAAATTTAATTATGTATTCATAACAATAGGGAATTAAACATTTATGCATGGTAATAATGTCAAAATTATTATAAATATTTAATATTTTAGATACTGTGTGCAGATAGTGGAGAGGGCATAAATATGCTTAAGATGTATGAAATCCACAAAAATTCAATAAAAAATACACATTGAGAAAAAACTTGATGTAAATTTAATTATGTATTCATAACAATAGGGAATTAAACATTTATGCATGGTAATAATGTCAAAATTATTATAAATATTTAATATTTTAGATACT